CTCATGTATCCCTCAGTGGGGTATTTTTGTATACTTAAGTCCTTGCAGGACTACCAGCGAAACTCAGTGGGATGAATTAATCCTTGAAAACAAGCTTGGGGTGATTGTTGGTTTGCAATGGGGGACTGGAATGACATTTGTAAGACTTCAGAAAAGCAAGGTGGAATTCCCAGAAGCCCTGCCAGTTTTCAGCCTTTTAACTCTTTTATTGATATCATGAATATGGAGGAAATCAGAATGAGTGGCTATCCATTTACTTGGTGTAACCAGAGAGCCTCTAATAAAATGGTGGAAGAACAGCTGGATAGAGCTTTTGGCACTCTGGATTGGCACCAAAATTATCCTAATGCTTCAGTGCTCAATGTGATTAGAAGTTCCTCAGACCACTCTGCAATTGCTCTCAACTTGGGTTTGCCCTCTGAAATGAAACAAGCCAGATTCAATTTTGACAGAAGATGGATTGGTAAGGAGGAATTTGAAGAGACAGATAAGCAAGCTTGGAATACTCCTATCACAGAAACTCCTTTCTACAGGCTCAAGGAGAAAATCAAGCTTACTAGAATTGCCCTTCTGAATTGGAGTTCCTCTTTCCAATCTCAAAACCAAGCCCTAATTGCAGAACTTACATTTCAACTGGAAACTCTGAATGAAGACAAATTTGGAAGCAATTGGAACAGCTGGATGAATACTAAAAAATCTCTGAATAAAGCACATCTTCAAGAAGAGCTTTATTGGCAACCGAAATCCAGACAGAGGCGGCTTAAGGAAGGGGATGCAAATACCAGATTTTTTCATGCTTTCACTCTTCAAAGAAGAAAACAAAATGCTATAACTAGACTGATTTCTTTAAATGGTAGAATCCTGGCTACTCAAAAAGAAATGGAGATTCACATAGCTGAATTTTATTCTAGTTTATTCTCTCAGAAGGCAGCTTGGGAGGTGACTCTATTCTCCACTTAATTTCTCATTCCATTACCTCTGAGATGAATGATGCCCTCTTGAAAGTCACAGATGATGAAGTTAAGTCAGCTTTATTCCAAATGCCAGCAGATAAGGCTTCAAGGGAAGAAGGGATGAGCTCACTTTTCTATCAATATTTCTGGGAGCTGATCAAAAAAGATTTTCTGGCTGCCATATTGAGTTTCTTTCACACAGGTATGATCCTAATTACTGGAATCATACCATTCTCTCCCTGATTCCAAAGTGTTTCAATCCAGAAACTGTCAATCAGTTCAGACCAATAAGTCTTTGCACATTGATTTATAAAGTTATCTCTAAAGTGTTGGCTCAAAGACTGAAAGTTTGTTTATCTCATTGCATTAGTGACCATCAATCTGCATTTATTGAGGGAAGACAACAAATGGACAATGTTATAATAGCTCAGGAAACATTTCATTACTTGAATCGGCACTCTTCAGGTCCAAACTCTTTTATGGCTCTCAAGCTTGATCTCATCAAATCCTTTGATGGAGTTGAGTGGCTTAGTGTGCAGAAAATTTTGCTTCAAATGGGATTTTATAGAGATTTTGTAAAGATGATCTTAATTTGCATCTCCACTGCTTCTTTCTCCTTCAAAATCAATGGCATGGTGAGTGGTTTTGTTAAGCCTGGTAGAGGCATTAGGCAAGGGGACCCTCTGTCCCCTTACCTATTTTTAATAGTGGCTGAAGTTCTCACAGCACTGATTCTGCAAGCAATGGACTCAGGACATCTCAAAGGTCTCAAACTTTCCAGGAATGGTCCATTACTTACCCATTTGCTGTTTGCAGATGATTCAATCTTCTTTTGCAAAGCAAGTGCTGACCAAGCAGCAATTCTGATGACGGTCCTTGAGAAATACAGGCTATTCACAGGGCAAGCAGTCAATTTGAACAAATCAGCCATTTTCTTCAATAGAAACACTCCACAGCCACTGCAAGTTACAATATGCTCACCACTCAATGGTATTATTTCCCATAGATCAACCAGTTACCTCGGCCTACCTCTTGGCATTGGAAAATCTAAAAAGGAAGTGTTTGGATACCTGCTGAGTTCAGTTAAGAATAAATTGCAGAACTGGAAATCCAAACTCTTGAGTCCAGCTGGAAAGGAAGTTATGCGAAAGGCAATCATCCAAGCTTTACCTATTTTTACTATGTCTTGCTTTAAGCTTCTTATTACTCTCTGCTCTGAAATCTCCCAGCCTTGTTGGTGGCAAAATGCATACCAACAATCCAGAGGAATTCATTGGATGAAGTGGAGTCTACTTGCTTTACCTAAAACTGAGGGGGGTTTGGGCTTTTTAGACTTGCAAGTATTCAACCAAGCTCTGATTTGCAAGCAATTATGGAGAGTGGCATCTCAGCCTGAGCTCTTGGTAAGCAGAATTTTGAAAGACAGGTATTTTCCTCAAACAACAATCACTCATGCTTCTAAAACCTCCAATGGGTCATGGATGTGGAATTGTTGGATGGAGCTGATCCCTTTATTCTCCAAATGGTTGAAAATTGAAATCAGAGATGAAGTACAACACAGATAGAAGACTTCAATTGGCCGGTTCCCAATTTGCAGAAACCTTCTTCTACACTAATCCCTATTGCTAGAGACCACCTCATTTGGGTTAAGGACCTTCTGCAATCCAATGGCTCTTCTTGGAATGACTGGCTTGTGAAGCAGGTTTTTTTATCAAATTTATAGTGATGATATTCTTAAGATTACTTCTCTGCATCCTGGGAGATCTGATAGAATTTTTTGGGGTCTGGATGGGAAAGGCCAGTTCTCTGTAGCATGTACTTACAAATTTCTCTCTAAAATCAAGATTGCTCAACTTGACATTCATGAATCCAATACCAGATCTTCAATCTGTAAGCCAGTTAAATTCAGACTTTGAAAAGTGAAATTTGCTGGGAAATTAAAGCACTTTTTGTGGAAATGCTTGTCAGGAACTCTTCCTGTAGCAAGCATATTGAGAAGAAAGATAATTGACATTGATCACATCTATCATGTTTGTGGTGAAACATCAGAAACAATAGCTCATGTTCTCTTAAATTGTTCTAGAGCTGGAAGGGTTTGGGCCATTTCTCTTGTTACTTGGCTTGGACTTTCAGACAAAACAGATTGCTTTCAGGAATGGTGGTTCAAACTCTGCACCCTTGATCATTCTGAAGTCTCAGAGGCAAGAATCCAACTGTCTACCTATATCCTCTGGTGGCTTTGGAAATCAAGGAATCTTTGGGTGTTCCAAGCATCTCTTATGCCAGAAGTGAAGGTAGTTCAAATAGCTCTCTCAGATTGGACTCAATTCACCAATGCAGCTTCTCTCTGATTTGTTTCTTCTTGGTTTAGCTTGTTAGTTTATTTTTTTATCAGGTGTATTTACCCTGCTAGACTTTGGCAGTAGAGGGGAACTACACGTTGGTTTATTTTCTTTTCTTGTTGTTCCTCTTCTTGAGGCTTTAGGCCACTGAAAAGTGTGTCTCCCAATTTGCTATCCCGAATTTGTATGTTGGACTTGATGTATTAGGATTATATCCTCTTGAGTTATATAAAAATATTTCTATCGTTTTGGCAAAAAAAAAAAAA